TATTGCAAAAATATGAAGTTGAGAAAATGTCTGAATAGAAGCATGAATGTCCTTGAAGAGCTGAACATTTTAACAGCTGAAAGTATTCTGAGCTAGAATTTCCCCATTCATTTGAATGGTGGAAAAAGTATGCAGAGGTAAAATTATCCTATTCATTTGAATGATGCATAACTTTCAAAATAAAGCTACATATTGCAAAAATATGAAGTTGAGAAAATGTCTGAATAGAAGCATGAATGTCCTTGAAGAGCTGAACATTTTAACAGCTGAAAGTATTCTGAGCTAGAATTTCCCCATTCATTTGAATGGTGGAAAAAGTATGCAGAGGTAAAATTATCCTATTCATTTGAATGATGCATAACTTTCAAAATAAAGCTACATATTGCAAAAATATGAAGTTGAGAAAATGTCTGAATAGAAGCATGAATGTCCTTGAAGAGCTGAACATTTTAACAGCTGAAAGTATTCTGAGCTAGAATTTCCCCATTCATTTGAATGGTGGAAAAAGTATGCAGAGGTAAAATTATCCTATTCATTTGAATGATGCATAACTTTCAAAATAAAGCTACATATTGCAAAAATATGAAGTTGAGAAAATGTCTGAATAGAAGCATGAATGTCCTTGAAGAGCTGAACATTTTAACAGCTGAAAGTATTCTGAGCTAGAATTTCCCCATTCATTTGAATGGTGGAAAAAGTATGCAGAGGTAAAATTATCCTATTCATTTGAATGATGCATAACTTTCAAAATAAAGCTACATATTGCAAAAATATGAAGTTGAGAAAATGTCTGAATAGAAGCATGAATGTCCTTGAAGAGCTGAACATTTTAACAGCTGAAAGTATTCTGAGCTAGAATTTCCCCATTCATTTGAATGGTGGAAAAAGTATGCAGAGGTAAAATTATCCTATTCATTTGAATGATGCATAACTTTCAAAATAAAGCTACATATTGCAAAAATATGAAGTTGAGAAAATGTCTGAATAGAAGCATGAATGTCCTTGAAGAGCTGAACATTTTAACAGCTGAAAGTATTCTGAGCTAGAATTTCCCCATTCATTTGAATGGTGGAAAAAGTATGCAGAGGTAAAATTATCCTATTCATTTGAATGATGCATAACTTTCAAAATAAAGCTACATATTGCAAAAATATGAAGTTGAGAAAATGTCTGAATAGAAGCATGAATGTCCTTGAAGAGCTGAACATTTTAACAGCTGAAAGTATTCTGAGCTAGAATTTCCCCATTCATTTGAATGGTGGAAAAAGTATGCAGAGGTAAAATTATCCTATTCATTTGAATGATGCATAACTTTCAAAATAAAGCTACATATTGCAAAAATATGAAGTTGAGAAAATGTCTGAATAGAAGCATGAATGTCCTTGAAGAGCTGAACATTTTAACAGCTGAAAGTATTCTGAGCTAGAATTTCCCCATTCATTTGAATGGTGGAAAAAGTATGCAGAGGTAAAATTATCCTATTCATTTGAATGATGCATAACTTTCAAAATAAAGCTACATATTGCAAAAATATGAAGTTGAGAAAATGTCTGAATAGAAGCATGAATGTCCTTGAAGAGCTGAACATTTTAACAGCTGAAAGTATTCTGAGCTAGAATTTCCCCATTCATTTGAATGGTGGAAAAAGTATGCAGAGGTAAAATTATCCTATTCATTTGAATGATGCATAACTTTCAAAATAAAGCTACATATTGCAAAAATATGAAGTTGAGAAAATGTCTGAATAGAAGCATGAATGTCCTTGAAGAGCTGAACATTTTAACAGCTGAAAGTATTCTGAGCTAGAATTTCCCCATTCATTTGAATGGTGGAAAAAGTATGCAGAGGTAAAATTATCCTATTCATTTGAATGATGCATAACTTTCAAAATAAAGCTACATATTGCAAAAATATGAAGTTGAGAAAATGTCTGAATAGAAGCATGAATGTCCTTGAAGAGCTGAACATTTTAACAGCTGAAAGTATTCTGAGCTAGAATTTCCCCATTCATTTGAATGGTGGAAAAAGTATGCAGAGGTAAAATTATCCTATTCATTTGAATGATGCATAACTTTCAAAATAAAGCTACATATTGCAAAAATATGAAGTTGAGAAAATGTCTGAATAGAAGCATGAATGTCCTTGAAGAGCTGAACATTTTAACAGCTGAAAGTATTCTGAGCTAGAATTTCCCCATTCATTTGAATGGTGGAAAAAGTATGCAGAGGTAAAATTATCCTATTCATTTGAATGATGCATAACTTTCAAAATAAAGCTACATATTGCAAAAATATGAAGTTGAGAAAATGTCTGAATAGAAGCATGAATGTCCTTGAAGAGCTGAACATTTTAACAGCTGAAAGTATTCTGAGCTAGAATTTCCCCATTCATTTGAATGGTGGAAAAAGTATGCAGAGGTAAAATTATCCTATTCATTTGAATGATGCATAACTTTCAAAATAAAGCTACATATTGCAAAAATATGAAGTTGAGAAAATGTCTGAATAGAAGCATGAATGTCCTTGAAGAGCTGAACATTTTAACAGCTGAAAGTATTCTGAGCTAGAATTTCCCCATTCATTTGAATGGTGGAAAAAGTATGCAGAGGTAAAATTATCCTATTCATTTGAATGATGCATAACTTTCAAAATAAAGCTACATATTGCAAAAATATGAAGTTGAGAAAATGTCTGAATAGAAGCATGAATGTCCTTGAAGAGCTGAACATTTTAACAGCTGAAAGTATTCTGAGCTAGAATTTCCCCATTCATTTGAATGGTGGAAAAAGTATGCAGAGGTAAAATTATCCTATTCATTTGAATGATGCATAACTTTCAAAATAAAGCTACATATTGCAAAAATATGAAGTTGAGAAAATGTCTGAATAGAAGCATGAATGTCCTTGAAGAGCTGAACATTTTAACAGCTGAAAGTATTCTGAGCTAGAATTTCCCCATTCATTTGAATGGTGGAAAAAGTATGCAGAGGTAAAATTATCCTATTCATTTGAATGATGCATAACTTTCAAAATAAAGCTACATATTGCAAAAATATGAAGTTGAGAAAATGTCTGAATAGAAGCATGAATGTCCTTGAAGAGCTGAACATTTTAACAGCTGAAAGTATTCTGAGCTAGAATTTCCCCATTCATTTGAATGGTGGAAAAAGTATGCAGAGGTAAAATTATCCTATTCATTTGAATGATGCATAACTTTCAAAATAAAGCTACATATTGCAAAAATATGAAGTTGAGAAAATGTCTGAATAGAAGCATGAATGTCCTTGAAGAGCTGAACATTTTAACAGCTGAAAGTATTCTGAGCTAGAATTTCCCCATTCATTTGAATGGTGGAAAAAGTATGCAGAGGTAAAATTATCCTATTCATTTGAATGATGCATAACTTTCAAAATAAAGCTACATATTGCAAAAATATGAAGTTGAGAAAATGTCTGAATAGAAGCATGAATGTCCTTGAAGAGCTGAACATTTTAACAGCTGAAAGTATTCTGAGCTAGAATTTCCCCATTCATTTGAATGGTGGAAAAAGTATGCAGAGGTAAAATTATCCTATTCATTTGAATGATGCATAACTTTCAAAATAAAGCTACATATTGCAAAAATATGAAGTTGAGAAAATGTCTGAATAGAAGCATGAATGTCCTTGAAGAGCTGAACATTTTAACAGCTGAAAGTATTCTGAGCTAGAATTTCCCCATTCATTTGAATGGTGGAAAAAGTATGCAGAGGTAAAATTATCCTATTCATTTGAATGATGCATAACTTTCAAAATAAAGCTACATATTGCAAAAATATGAAGTTGAGAAAATGTCTGAATAGAAGCATGAATGTCCTTGAAGAGCTGAACATTTTAACAGCTGAAAGTATTCTGAGCTAGAATTTCCCCATTCATTTGAATGGTGGAAAAAGTATGCAGAGGTAAAATTATCCTATTCATTTGAATGATGCATAACTTTCAAAATAAAGCTACATATTGCAAAAATATGAAGTTGAGAAAATGTCTGAATAGAAGCATGAATGTCCTTGAAGAGCTGAACATTTTAACAGCTGAAAGTATTCTGAGCTAGAATTTCCCCATTCATTTGAATGGTGGAAAAAGTATGCAGAGGTAAAATTATCCTATTCATTTGAATGATGCATAACTTTCAAAATAAAGCTACATATTGCAAAAATATGAAGTTGAGAAAATGTCTGAATAGAAGCATGAATGTCCTTGAAGAGCTGAACATTTTAACAGCTGAAAGTATTCTGAGCTAGAATTTCCCCATTCATTTGAATGGTGGAAAAAGTATGCAGAGGTAAAATTATCCTATTCATTTGAATGATGCATAACTTTCAAAATAAAGCTACATATTGCAAAAATATGAAGTTGAGAAAATGTCTGAATAGAAGCATGAATGTCCTTGAAGAGCTGAACATTTTAACAGCTGAAAGTATTGTGTGTTCAGTACACCTGCCATGATGAGACTCCACCACACCCTGTGCATAGTTTGTAGTCGCTCAGTGGTTGTTTTGTGTGTCATAGTCTGAGTCCTTAACTTGAGTTGTCATGTTTTCTTCAGGTTGAAAGAGATTATGCCCCCATTCAACAGAAAAAGAAGCAGGCAGGACATGGGGGAAGAAAGGTGGAAAGAGAGGAAGAGGAGAGAGGGAGAGGAATAAGCAGAGGAGATGGAAGGCAAAGGTCAGATGAGAGAGGGAGGAGAGCGGTGTCAGAAGGAGGTTATGGGAGCAAGGACTCACCAGAGAAAGACTGTTTCTTCTGAGCAACATCAACTGATAAGGAGATCACAAACCACTTTTCATACATGTGAGCCTATTGTATTCATATGTTGTGATCTGGTGTTGATTGAATAGTTTTTTTATAAAATCAGTTTAATTACATATCTAGAAAACCTTTTTTCTTCCTAGCACTTCTACAACAAATCAAGAGATTATGATGATGAGGTACTAAATTAAAATCATTTTCACAACTGTCCAGACATTGAAATCTGTAGCTGAAGAAGAGATTAACCGAATCTGCTGCCATTAGCCTAATGCCACTCTATTGACAACCAGGGGGAGCAGCTCAGAAACAGTCCTG